GATGGTCCCAGCGGCCCCTATCAGTAGGCAGTGTGGTCCCAGATGGTCCCAGCGGCACCTGTCAGTAGGCAGGGAGGTCCCTGATGGTCCCAGATGGTCCCAGCGGCCCCTGCCAGTAGGCAGTGAGGTCCCAGATGGTCCCAGATGGTCCCAGCGGCCCCTATCAGTAGGCAGTGAGGTCCCAGATGGTCCCAGCGGCCCCTATCAGTTTGCAGTGAGGTCCCAGATGGTCCCAGCGGCCCCTATCAGTAGGCAGTGAGGTCCCAGATGGTCCCAGCGGCCCCTGACAGTAGGCAGTGAGGTCCCAGATGGTCCCAGCGGCCCCTATCAGTAGGCAGTTAGGTCCCAGATGGTCCCAGCGTCCCCTATCAGTAAGCAGTGAGGTCCCAGATGGTCCCAGCGGACCCTGTCAGTAAGCTGTGAGGTCCCAGATGGTCCCAGCGGCCCCTGTCAGTAAGCTGTGAGGTCCCAGATGGTCCCAGCGGCCCCTGTCAGTAGACAGTGAGGTCACAGATGGTCCCAGCGGCCCCTATCAGTAGACAGTAAGGTCCCAGATGGTCCCAGCGGCCCCTATCAGTAGACAGTGAGGTCCCAGATGGTCACAGCGGCCCCTATCAGTAAGCAGTGAGGTCCCAGATGGTCCCAGCGGCCCCTATCAGTAGTCAGTGAGGTCCCAGATGGTCCCAGCGGCCCCCTATCAGTAGACATTGAGGTCCCAGATGGTCCCAGCGGCCCCTATCAGTAGACAGTGAGCTCTCAGATGGTCCCAGTGGCCCCTATCAGTAAGCAATGAGGTCCCAGATAGTCCCAGCGGCCCCTATCAGTAGACAGTGAGGTCCCAGATGGTCCCAGTGGCCCCTATCAGTAGGCAGTGTGGTCCCAGATGGTCCCAGCGGCACCTGTCAGTAGGCAGGGAGGTCCCTGATGGTCCCAGATGGTCCCAGCGGCCCCTGTCAGTAGGCAGTGAGGTCCCAGATGGTCCCAGATGGTCCCAGCGGTCCCTATCAGTAAGCAGTGAGGTCCCAGATGGTCCCAGCGGCCCCTATCAGTAGGCAGTGAGGTCCCAGATGGTCCCAGCGGCCCCTGACAGTAGGCAGTGAGGTCCCAGATGGTCCCAGCGGCCCCTATCAGTATGCAGTTAGGTCCCAGATGGTCCCAGCGTCCCCTATCAGTAAGCAGTGAGGTCCCAGATGGTCCCAGCAGACCCTGTCAGTAAGCTGTGAGGTCCCAGATGGTCCCAGCGGCCCCTGTCAGTAAGCTGTGAGGTCCCAGATGGTCCCAGCGGCACCTGTCAGTAGGCAGTGAGGTCCCAGATGGTCCCAGCGGCCCCTGTCAGTAGGCAGTGAGGTCCCAGATGGTCCCAGCGGCCCCTGTCAGTAGGCAGTGAGGTCCCAGATGGTCCCAGCGGTCACTGTCAGTAAGCAGTGAGGTCCAAGATGGTTCTAGCGGCCCCTATCAGTAAGCTGTGAGGTCCCAGATGGTCCTAGCGACCCCTATCAGTAAGCTGTGAGGTCCCAGATGGTCCCAGCGGCCCCTATCAGTAAGCAGTGAGGTCCCAGATGGTCCCAGCGGCCCCTGTCAGTAAGCAGTGAGGTCCCAGATGGTCCCAGCGGCCTCTGTCAGTAAGCTGTGAGGTCCCAGATGGTCCCAGCGGCCCCTGTCAGTAGGCAGTGAGGTCCCAGATGGTCCCAGCGGCCCCTGTCAGTAGGCAGTGAGGTCCCAGATGGTCCCAGCGGTCACTATCAGTAAGCAGTGAGGTCCAAGATGGTTCTAGCGGCCCCTATCAGTAAGCTGTGAGGTCCCAGATGGTCCTAGCGACCCCTATCAGTAAGCTGTGAGGTCCCAGATGGTCCCAGCGGCCCCTATCAGTATACAGTGAGGTCCCAGATGGTCCCAGCGGCCCCTGTCAGTAAGCAGTGAGGTCCCAGATGGTCCCAGCGGCCTCTGTCAGTAAGCTGTGAGGTCCCAGATGGCCCCAGCGGCCCCTATCAGTAGGCAGTGAGGTCCCAGATGGTCCCAGTGGCCACTATCAGTAAGCAGTGAGGTCCCAGATAATCCCAGCGGCCCCTATCAGTAGTCAGTGAGGTCCCAGATGGTCCCAGTGGCCCCTATCAGTAGGCAGTGAGGTCCCAGATGGTCCCAGCGGCCCCTATCAGTAGACAGTGAGGTCCCAGATGGTCCCAGCGGCCCCTATCAGTAAGCAGTGAGGTCCCAGATGGTCCCAGCGGCCCCTATCAGTAGACAGCGAGGTCCCAGATGGTCCCAGCGGCCCCTATCAGTAAGCAGTGAGGTCCCAGATGGTCCCAGCGGCCCCTATCAGTAGACAGTGAGGTCCCAGATGGTCCCAGCGGCCCCTATCAGTAGGCAGTGAGGTCCCAGATGGTCCCAGTGGCCACTATCAGTAAGCAGTGAGGTCCCAGATAATCCCAGCGGCCCCTATCAGTAAGCAGTGAGGTCCCAGATGGTCCCAGCGGCCCCTATCAGTAGGCAGTTAGGTCCCAGATGGCCCCAGTGGCCCCTATCAGTAGGCAGTGAGGTCCCAGATGGTCCCAGTGGCCAGTATCAGTAAGCAGTGAGGTCCCAGATAATCCCAGCGGCCCCTATCAGTAGGCAGTTAGGTCCCAGATGGCCCCAGCGGCCCCTATCAGTAGGCAGTGAGGTCCCAGATGGTCCCAGTGGCCACTATCAGTAAGCAGTGAGGTCCCAGATAATCCCAGCGGCCCCTATCAGTAGTCAGTGAGGTCCCAGATGGTCCCAGTGGCCCCTATCAGTAGACAGTGAGGTCCCAGATGGTCCCAGCGGCCCCTATCAGTAGACAGTGAGGTCCCAGATGGTCCCAGCGGCCCCTATCAGTAGACAGTGAAGTCCCAGATGGTCCCAGCGGCCCCTATCAGTAGACAGTGAAGTCCCAGATGGTCCCAGCGGCCCCTATCAGTAAGCAGTGAGGGTCTCAGATGGTCCCAGCGGCCCCTATCAGTAGTCAGTGAGGTCCCAGATGGTCCCAGCGGCCCCCTATCAGTTGACAGTGAGGTCCCAGATGGTCCCAGCGGCCCCTGTCATTAGACAGTGAGGTCTCAGATGGTCCCAGTGGTCCCTATCAGTAAGCAATGAGGTCCCAGATAGTCCCAGCGGCCCCTATCAGTAGACAGTGAGGTCCCAGATGGTCCCAGCGGCCCCTATCAGTAGGCAGTGAGGTCCCAGATGGTCCCAGATGGTCCCAGCGGCCCCTATCAGTAGGCAGTGAGGTCCCAGATGGTCCCAGCGGCCCCTGTCAGTAGGCAGTGAGGTCCCAGATGGTCCCAGCGGCCCCTGTCAGTAGGCAGTGAGGTCCCAGATGGTCCCAGCGGCCCCTATCAGTAGGCAGTGAGGTCCCAGATGGTACCAGCGGCCCCTATCAGTAAGCAGTGAGGTCCCAGATGGTCCCAGCGGGCCCTATCATTAGGCAGTGAGATCCCAGATAGTCCCAGCTCCTCCGGTCAAAACCAAAAAAGTTAAACTTAGTACAATTTTTTTTATAGAGTGGGCTATATGCTAAATGTACAGTGTTCTCCTAACTTAGGATATGTCTGATGTATTGTTCTCCTAACTTAGGATATGTCTGATGTATTGTTCTCCTAACTTGGGATATGTCTGATGTATTGTTCTCCTAACTTGGGATATATGTCTGATGTTCACAACTACAAAAATACATCTCATTTTCTAAACCTATTATTATATATATAAGAAACAAAGATATCAAATTAAGTGATATCTTAGTTTTCAATCAAATCAACAAAATAAAGTTAGACTTATTCTTGAGTAAAATGGTGTTCTTGACACCTCTAACCACCAATTACAGTTCAGGTCAGAACCACCAATTACAGTTCAGGTCAGAACCACCAATTACAGTTCTGGCCAGAACCACCAATTACAGTTCTGGCCGGAACCACCAATTACAGTTCTGGCCGGAACCACCAATTACAGTTCAGGTCAGAACCACCAATTACAGTTCAGGTCAGAACCACCAATTACAGTTCTGGCCGGAACCACCAATTACAGTTCTGACCAGAACCACCAATTACAGTTCTGACCAGAACCACCAATTACAGTTCTGGCCGGAACCACCAATTACAGTTCTGGCGGGAACCACCAATTACAGTTCTGGCGGGAACCACCAATTACAGTTCTGGCGGGAACCACCAATTAAAGTTCTGGCGGGAACCACCAATTACAGTTCTGGCCGGAACCACCAATTACAGTTCAGGCCAGAACCACCAATTACAGTTCTGGCCGGAACCACCAATTACAGTTCTGGCCGGAACCACCAATTACAGTTCTGGCGGGAACCACCAATTACAGTTCTGGCGGGAACCACCAATTACAGTTCTGGCGGGAACCACCAATTACAGTTCTGGCGGGAACCACCAATTACAGTTCTGGCCGGAACCACCAATTACAGTTCTGGCCGGAACCACCAATTACAGTTCTGGCCGGAACCACCAATTACAGTTCTGGCCGGAACCACCAATTACAGTTCTGGCCGGAACCACCAGGAAAACATCAGCATCAAACAAACGTTGTTGACACAAAAATGAAAACCATTTACCAACCAATTTGAACTTTGTAACAGCAAGTAAACAAAAAACGAAAACGATTGGGCAACCTCTCCTCTGGTTGCCAAACGACACTTTCTGTTTATTAACCGTTTTTGAGTGACAAACATATTAGTGGCCGACGATTATATAGTCATTAATGAGGGTAACGAGGCTGTTACACTCTGCTAACGACCCTCTCAGGATTTTGGTAACGATCGTTACGTGTTCTAATGACCAGGTGGGGGGGGGGGAGAGGGACCCCTCAGGGAGGGTGTCCCTGGGGGTCCCTTCAAGGGCACGAGGATAAGGGGGTCCACGAGGGAGGGGGGACTGAACCAGGGGGTCAGGGGGGCCCTCGTGGACCCCCTGACCTCCCCCCCCCCCCGGGGACACCGTCTGGAGGGGACTGACAGGAATGTTAAGTGATCACAGTGGAAAACTACCCGGTAACAAGCGGGGATATTCCCTGACGGTGGCCCGTTGTTCCCTGGCGGCGGCCCGTTGTTCCCTGGCGGCGGCCCGTTGTTCCCTGGCGGCGGCCCGTTGTTCCCTGGCGGCGGCCCGTTGTTCCCTGACGGCGGCCCGTTGTTCCCTGGCGGCGGCCCGTTGTTCCCTGGCGGCGGCCCGTTGTTCCCTGGCGGCGGCCCGTTGTTCCCTGGCGGCGGCCCGTTGTTCCCTGGCGGCGGCCCGTTGTTCCCTGACGGCGGCCCGTTGTTCCCTGGCGGCGGCCCGTTGTTCCCTGACGGCGGCCCGTTGTTCCCTGGCAGCGGCCCGTTGTTCCCTGACGGCGGCCCGTTGTTCCCTGGCGGCGGCCCGTTGTTCCCTGACGGCGGCCCGTTGTTCCCTGACGGTGGCCCGTTGTTCCCTGGCGGCGGCCCGTTGTTCCCTGGCGGCGGCCCGTTGTTCCCTGGCGGCGGCCCGTTGTTCCCTGACGGCGGCCCGTTGTTCCCTGGCGGCGGCCCGTTGTTCCCTGGCGGCGGCCCGTTGTTCCCTGACGGCGGCCCGTTGTTCCCTGGCGGCGGCCCGTTGTTCCCTGGCGGCGGCCCGTTGTTCCCTGGCGGCGGCCCGTTGTTCCCTGGCGGCGGCCCGTTGTTCCCTGGCAACTAGTTCATTGTTCCCTGTTGATGGTGGAAAGTTCCAAGGAGGTGGTATGCAGGGACACAGCAGGTGACAAAGAAGGTGACACAGCAGGTGACACATCAGGGAACACAGCAGGTGACACATCAGGGAACACAGCAGGTGACACGGCAGGTGACACAGCAGGTGACACAGACTGTGACACAGACTGTGACACAGCAGCAGGTGACACAGACGGTGACACAGCAGCAGGTGACGCAACAGCAGGTGACGCAACAGCAGGTGACACAGCAGGTGACACAGACGGTGACACAGCAGCAGGTGACGCAACAGCAGGTGACACAGGTGTCCGTGTCACCCTGGACGCTGTGATAAGAGGGTCGACAAAAACCTGTCACATCTGGGAGATAAAACCCGGGTTTTTGTGTTGCTGGGTCACGCCCACCACCCGCCTGCTGCTGCTAAGCTGCTGGATGGGCGGTGGGGCACCCCCATACCCATCCTGTGGGCGGTGGGGCACCCCCATACTCATCCTGTGGGTGGTAGTGGACCCCATACCCATCCTGTGGGTGGTAGTGGACCCCCATACCCATCCTGTGGGTGGTAGTGGACCTCATACCCATCCTGTGGGTGGTAGTGGACCCCATACCCATCCTGTGGGTGGTAGTGGACCCCATACCCATCCTGTGGGTGGTAGTGGACCCCATACTCATCCTGTGGGTGGTAGTGGACCCCATACCCATCCTGTGAGCGGTAGTGGACCCCATACCCGTCCTCTGGGTGGTAGTGGATCCCATACCCATCCTGTGGGTGGTAGTGGACCCCATACCCATCCTGTGGGTGGTAGTGGACCTCATACCCATCCTGTGGGTGGTAGTGGACCCCATACCCATCCTGTGGGTGGTAGTGGACCCCCATACTCATCCTGTGGGTGGTAGTGGACCCCATACCCATCCTGTGGGTGGTAGTGGACCTCATACCCATCCTGTGGGTGGTAGTGGACCCCATACCCATCCTGTGGGTGGTAGTGGACCCCATACCCATCCTGTGGGTGGTAGTGGACCCCATACCCATCCTGTGGGTGGTAGTGGACCCCATACCCATCCTGTGGGTGGTAGTGGACCCCATACCCATCCTGTGGGGGGTAGTGGACCCCATACCCATCCTGTGGGCGGTAGTGGACCCCATACCCATCCTGTGGGCGGTAGTGGACCCCATCCCCATCCTGTGGGCGGTAGTGGACCCCATACCCATCCTGTGGGCGGTAGTGGACCCCATACCCATCCTGTGGGTGGTAGTGGACCCCATACCCATCCTGTGGGTGGTAGTGGACCCCATACCCATCCTGTGGGGGGTAGTGGACCCCATACCCATCCTGTGGGTGGTGGACCCCATACCCATCCTGTGGGTGGTAGTGGACCCCATACCCATCCTGTGGGTGGTAGTGGACCCCATACCCATCCTGTGGGTGGTAGTGGACCCCATACCCATCCTGTGGGCGGTAGTGGACCCCATACCCATCCTGTGGGCGGTAGTGGACCCCATACCCATCCTGTGGGCGGTAGTGGACCCCATACCCATCCTGTGGGTGGTAGTGGACCTCATACCCATCCTGTGGGTGGTAGTGGACCTCATACCCATCCTGTGGGTGGTAGTGGACCCCATACCCATCCTGTGGGTGGTAGTGGACCCCATACCCATCCTGTGGGTGGTAGTGGACCCCATACCCATCCTGTGGGTGGTAGTGGACCCCATACCCATCCTGTGGGTGGTAGTGGACCCCATACCCATCCTGTGGGTGGTAGTGGACCCCATACCCATCCTGTGGGTGCTAGTGGACCCCATACCCATCCTGTGGGTGGTAGTGGACCCCATACCCATCCTGTGGGCGGTAGTGGACCCCATACACATCCTGTGGGCGGTAGTGGAACCCATACCCATCTTGTGGGCGGTAGTGGACCCCATACCCATCCCGTGGGTGGTAGTGGACCCCATACCTATCCTGTGGGCGGTAGTGAACCCCATACCCATCCTGTGGGTGGTAGTGGACCCCATACACATCCTGTGGGTGGTAGTGGACCCCATACCCATCTTGTGGGCGGTAGTGGACCCCATACCCATCCCGTGGGTGGTAGTGGACCCCATACCTATCCTGTGGGCGGTAGTGAACCCCATACCCATCCTGTGGGTGGTAGTGGAACCCATACCCATCTTGTGGGCGGTAGTGGACCCCATACCCATCCCGTGGGTGGTAGTGGACCCCATACCCATCCTGTGGGCGGTAGTGGACCCCATACCCATCCTGTGGTTGGTAGTGGAACCCATACCCATCTTGTGGGCGGTAGTGGACCCCATACCCATCCCGTGGGCGGTAGTGGACCCCATACCCATCCTGTGGGCGGTAGTGGACCTCATACCCATCCTGTGGGTGGTAGTGGACCCCATACCCATCCTGTGGGTGGTAGTGGACCCCATACCCATCCAGTGGGTGGTAGTGGACCCCATACCCATCCTGTGGGTGGTAGTGGACCCCATACCCATCCTGTGGGTGGTAGTGGACCCCATACCCATCCTGTGGGTGGTAGTGGACCCCATACCCATCCTGTGGGTGGTAGTGGGCCCCATACCCATCCTGTGGGCGGTAGTGGACCCCATACCCATCCTGTGGGTGGTAGTGGACCCCATACCCATCCTGTGGGTGGTAGTGGACCCCATACCCATCCTGTGGGTGGTAGTGGACCCCATACCCATCCTGTGGGTGGTAGTGGACCCCATACCCATCCTGTGGGTGGTAGTGGACCCCATACCCATCCTGTGGGTGGTAGTGGACCCCATACCTATCCTGTGGGTGGTAGTGGACCCCATACCCATCCTGTGGGTGGTAGTGGGCCCCATACCCATCCTGTGGGCGGTAGTGGACCCCATACCCATCCTGTGGGTGGTAGTGGACCCCATACCCATCCTGTGGGCGGTAGTGGACCCCATACCCATCCTGTGGGTGATAGTGGACCCCATACCCATCCTGTGGGTGGTAGTGGACCCCATACCCATCCTGTGGGTGGTAGTGGACCCCATACCCATCCTGTGGGTGGTAGTGGACCCCATTCCTTACTGCCTACAGTTAGTAAACTAGGGATATTTAACTATGACGTCTAATTGTAGGTCTAGGTAATTAGGGACCCGCAGAGGGGGCCCTGGGGGTCACCTTCCCCCGTGTTGTTGATACATGTGGTTGGTTTAATCTGTAGTTTCTTGATTTACTTTTGCCGTTGAAGATGTTGACACGTTCAACGATACGCGTCGCTTTGCCTCAGGCAATATAAAATAAATTGTTAAATGCACTTTGGAGAGTTAATTTTTCACCTACTCTTTTGGCCCTACTTATAGAAACGATGAGGACCATAGTACATATACCGACATACAACGACATTAGAAAGTAGAAATCTCAACTATTGAGTTGGACAAACAGGAAAACTATTTTTTTACTTGTGTTGCTTTGACAAACTAACCTAACCTCCCTAGGCCTAATATACGATATCTGAGGCCTAATATAGTACATATGTGTACTATACTAGGCCTGGGAATATGTAAGTTTGTGTTTTAGCTTCATTTATTTTAAAAGAATTCCTTATTAGTCAGTATACTACTATCTAAAAGCTAAGAACGTACGAATTGTGACTATTGACGATAGTCACAATATGTACTGTCTAAACAGGTGGATGGGCTGGAGAAAATATAAACACACACACACACACACACACACACACACACACACACACACACACACACACACACACACACACACACACACACACACACACACACACACACACACACACACACACACACACACACACACACACAAACAAGGTAAACAAGGATAAACTATTCAACACTGGTGGGACGCGAACGAGGGGACACAGGTGGAAACTGAGTACCCACATGAGCCACAGAGACGTTAGAAGGAACTTTTTCAGTGTCAGAGTAGTTAACAGGTGGAATGCATTAGGCAGTGATGTGGTGGAGGCTGACTCCATACACAGTTTCAAATGTAGATATGATAGAGCCCAGTAGGCTCAGGAACCTGTACACCAGTTGATTGACAGTTGAGAGGCGGGACCAAAGAGCCAGAGCTCAACCCCCGCAAGCACAATTAGGTGAATACAAACACACACACACACAAACATACATAAAATGAACACATATATAAGCAGTCCATAGAGCAGGCGACACCAGAGCTCCACAGTAAGAGCCCTCAGAGATGTCAACAGCGGGCACCCCTCACAGCTCTATTAATTAATATAAGGATAAATTCGATGGGCGACCACATGATACTACAGAAAAAACATGTTTGAAAATTACAGTGTTCCAGGAAGTGGCTACTAGAGTTAAACCCCATGCAAGTGCAATGTGATGAAGCTGGCTGCAGGTTACTGTAGGCCAGGAACAATGTATAATATGGGAGAGGAATCGAACACAGAATTAAGACTTTGGAGTCGATATTATACCCAAAATTCCTTCCTGGCAGCTGGGTGGACAGCACTTTGGATTCGTAGTCCTGAGGTTCCGGGTTCGATCCCCGGTGGAGGCGGAGACAAATGTACAAAATGTTTCTTTCACCCTGATGCCCCTGTTACTTAGCAGTAAAATAGGTACCTGGGTGTTAGCCAGCTGTCACGGGCTGCTTCCTGGGGGTGGAGGCCTCGTCGAGGACCGGGCCGCGGGGACACTAAGCCCCGAAATCACCTCAAGATAACCTCAAGATAACCTCAAGATAACAGAAGCTGCATCAAAACAGTACAATAATAACATACAGGTTGGCAAGAACAAGACATACAAGAACAGCAGTTAGCCAGCTGAACAACCGGTCGTTCAAGACCTTAACTGCCAGTTATGTCGTTCAGCGTCTCAGTAGTGAACAAGTGGAACACACTAAGAACTTAAGAGATATTATAAGAATGTTCAGCGTCTCAGTAGTGAACAAATGGAACACACTAAGAACAACACCTTGAACACCTTTGAGTGTAGATATCTTCACCTTAACTGATATTAAGGCCTGAAGCTCGTTGCTTCACTATTTACAGTGTTGCGTTACTTGCGTCATTATCTGTATATGACGCAAG